GGGGGGGAGTGTTTAAAAAAAAAAAAAAAAAAAAAGAAAAGAAAAAGAAAATAGTGGCTGCTGGCTGCCTGCCAGCCCCAACCAACTCCTCCGCTGAGCCCCGGCAGCCGGACCCATAACCCCCAGCACCTGGAATAAAGGGGAACCCCCCCCAAAAATGACATTTTTAAGGGTTGAGGGAAATTTGGAGGCAGCAGCAGGGCTAAAAAAGAGACTTCAAGCAGGGGGTTGTTTTTACACCTTCTTCTTTATTTATTTTATTTTTAGTACATGCAAAAAAGGCAGACAGACAAAGCTCGTTGGGAAAAATAACGGGGGAAAGGGTTCTCTGGGTTCCTCTTGCAGCCTCCCCGATTGAATTAATCCCTGGCACCGGTGGCTGGTTTGGGCCTCACGGGACTCTTTGGCCGCCTGGTTTCCCTTCCACCGGCTGGACGTTGCCAGTAATCGCGTTAGCAGCTGATTGCAGGAGACCTTTTCTTCTTCTGCTGCTGCCCAGGGGTAATTGCACCTTTCCCACCGGGCTCCAGGTTTCCAGTCGCCGGCGGGTTGCAGCGGGATGGTAGGATGGAGAGAGGAACATCCATGGTTGGGGTCAGGGAGGAGCCGGGGCCATGCTCCTCCAACCGATGCAAAACTCTTGTTGGAGGCGAAAAGCAGCATTTTTTAAATGCTGAAGCTTCACAAAGGCCTCGGGGCAGAGATGTCCCCACCACCAGACACTGGACTTCCCCATGGGGATGGTCCTACAGGGCTTTCAGGTTCTCCCCCAACCCAGACGTAGCAGGGACACAGGCTGGGTCTCTCCTGCCTCGGGCTCCACCACGGCTCAGCAGACTGGAGATGTCTTGCATGAAAAATTTCATTGCTTCTAAAAGCTATTTATAATAGAAATGAAGTTAATTTCCCATGTCCTCCAGACAACACCAGCCTGACAGGGTGGGGGACCTGGTAGAGCTTGCTCATGAGGAGGTGACATTTGACGGCAACTTTCTCTTTTTTGACTAGGTCAGAGGAGATGGTCACCCTGGGCTCACCCACAAACATCTGCTACCCCAGCACCTGCCTTTGAGTCCCCAAATTTTTGGCGAAGAGGGTGTCTGGTGGAGAAAGTGTCATCTCTTGAGGTCCACTGTGGTGGTCCCCTTTGTCCTCTTGCTGCAATCAACCTTCACCGCAGTCAAATGAGTGCAGCTTCCTGGGGTGAAGACCCCAAGAGAAGATGACAGGTCTCACTGCCGAACCTCTGCGTTGGAGAATCACAGAATCTTAATGGTTGGAAAGGACCTCTGAGATCACCAAATCCAACCATAAACTGGTCTGACCTTCAACCCCTATTGCCGTGATGGGTCCCAGGTCTGCATTTCTGGGACCAATCCAGCCTAAATTTCCTTCTGGAGTTGACAAGGACCCAGCAACAGCCTACAAGCCCAACTTACCCCTTCTGCCAGGGCTCCATGGAAGCATGGGGAAACCTTGGCTTTGATGGGAATTCAGACAAAAAAGCCTTGGCTTTGCTCCAAGAGGGCACCGATCCATCATTCTTATGCCTCAGCATTTCTGAAGAAGTGTATTTCAGCTCATTTTCCTCCCCAGCCTGCTTTCCTAGAGCCCCGCGGACGTCAGCAGAGGAGGAAGGGGTTGCTGAGCTGAGCTCCAGCACATAGATGATTAATGCCTTCATCTTCACAGACTTCCTTTCCTCCCGCCGGCACATCCTGATGTGCCTCGGGGACTTGGGATTGCTTCCTCTCGTCACTTTTCTTTGCTCAGGAATCCCCAAGAAGCAGCGCAGAACACGAGGATGCTGTCACAGGTGGTGCCTTAGGCTTCAGTTTCATCCACAACTTCAGCAGAAGGAAACTGGTGGGTGTTTGGGAGGTGGCCTGGGCACCTGGGCACAGGAGACCTTGGTGAAGTAGGTTGGGAAAGGGAGATTTTGGGACTTATATCTGTGGCTTTTTGCAGGCAGGAAATCCCAGGGGTTGGGACATGTGGGGCTCTTGTGATAGAGGTTTCCGAGGTGGGCCTTCACACTTTGTGGCCACCTTTGAGAGGTCTTCTCCAACCCCCACTGCTAGGAGGCTCTGCAAAGAGGGAGGTCATTGTCTCTCACTGCCTCATCCTCACAAATTGCACTTCCTTCCGTTGAGGATGGAGCTGGGGTGTGGGATGGGGACATCTCTGGACGTTGCATCATTGAGCAGAAACCAAACACCTCCAGGTCGGCCACAATTTCTCCTTCAGCTCCTTCCCATGCCAGCAGATCACCCAGCCTTTTTGGGTTTTCACCCCTCTGTGGTTCTTCCCATCCTGAGAGAGCTTGAGCTCCTGAGGCTCAGCAGAGTGGTGGCCATCTCAGTCTTCTCACCAACACACCTCTTCAAAAACACTCATTGTCCCCATCTGCCATGATGGGAGACCATGCTATGGAGCAGAAGTGCAACCCAGCATGGAGCTCCACCATCCTTGTGCTGGGAGAACCAGGCTTTGCCAGCAGCCCCGGAGATGAATCCAGATATCAGGTGATAATAAAAGGGTGTCCAAAAGCAGGCTCAGCTCCCCATGGGGACCTGCAGAATACAACCCCACTACAGGTGAGTAGGGAGTGATGGAGGAGCACACTGTGTCCCTTTGGCTCACCACCTCCAGGTTCCTCTGCTTTCCAGACCACATCCACAGGGAGGAATAAGGAGGTCAAAGCACACAAGACCTGGAAGTACCTTTGATATTTCCCATCCAGGAAAGATTTAAAATAACTAACTTGTTGCTGTTGCTGTTTCCTCGATAACTTGTTTGCTTTGGCTGTTGGACCAGAGGCAGCTCTCCAGCTGGAGAGTTTTCTCTGAGAAACAATTGCCCCCAGTTACAACCAGAGATGAAGGGTGGAAACGTTGATGGAGATGCCTCCTTTTGGGGTACCACCATTCCAGCAGGGCCACGCACTCGGGCACATCTGTAGGGTGAAAATAGCTATTTTAAGGTTGAAAACCAGCATCTCAGGTATGAGTCAACCCGAGGTGCTCCACGATCATGGTTCATCGTCGTAAAGCAGGGGCAAACACAAGTGTCCCAACTCACCACCATGTGCACAACAGCACAGATTGTCTGTGGTCACCCAACGCTTGGGTCTTATGGATGGGGTTGAGGCAGCACAAGGGCAAGATGGGCAAATTTCTCACCCGCCTGGGTGTGAGTCACCAGGAACCCAGTAATTTAATGCTTTGCATTGAAAACTACTTGTTGGTGCAACTTCTTGTTGCTTTCCCAGGAACCCCACGCTCAATTCTGCTGCTCTTTCAGCAAGCAATAAGGGTTTTTGTGTGTGATGAGTTTGCTTGGGACTTCCAAGCCATCGCTCAAATCTCCCAGCTGGATGGATGTGCAATTTTTAGTCCATGCTAATAGTCTGTGACTTTCTGCAACAGGAATTTGGAGTCTCTTGCTACTCGTTAACACCATTAAATACAATGTCCATCCCCTTGCCAAGGCCGTGATGGCACCCTTGAGACCTCTTGAGCAGGCAAAAT